CCCCGCCCCGCCGCGGCCCCTCCGCGGGTCTCCGGCAGCTGGAAGGAACTCTGGGAAAGTTTCCACTCGCCTCCTCGGCCCTAGCGGAAGTAGGACGGGGCGGGGCCCGCTAGCGGTAGCCGCGCCCCCTCCGGACGCGCGTTCCGATTGGCCGCCGGAGGAGTCCGTCAGCGCAGCCCCCTCCGCACGCGCATTCCGATTGGTCACGGGGGCAGTCTGTCAGCCCCGGCGGCGGGCTCTTCCCGGGCTGCGGCGGGGGCGGAGCTGGCGGAGCAAGTCCGCGGCCTGCTCGGGCTCGCGGTGCCCTGGGGACGCCGGGACTGTGAGGCCGGGCGGCGGCGGCGGAGGCGGAGGCGGCGGCGGGAGCCCCAGTCTGGAGCGCCATAGTGCGTGAGGCCGCGGACGTGGCAGGGAGCGTGGGCGGTGCCCTGCCGTGTGGACGCTTCACCTCTCGGGGTCCTTAGCCAGGGTCCGGCCTCCTGGGCGCGGAGCGGATCCGCGGAGGTGCGGGGCCCGGGCCGAGCACGGGTGTGCAGAGTCTCCGGCGAGCTGCAGGGCGCGGCGGGGCGCCCCCACATTGCGGCCCAGGAAGGGGGAGCTCGTCGTCCCTCGGTGGCTGTGGGAGTCACGGGGGACGTGGCCTCGGCTGCTGGGAGGCCAGTATTTCCTCTTCTACGGGGGTGTTTTGACCTTGGGCGAGTCATTTTATTGTGTCCTTTTGCCTGTCGTTTGTCGTCTCCCTCCCCCTTACCTGAATATTAAGATGATGTGGGAAGGCCTTGAGCTTGTGGAGGGTAGGTTGAGATCTGAGCAGGCAGTATGGGGGTGATGGGAGAGATTAGGGTAGGTGTTGAGTTCTTCCCCCCCCCCCCCATTTTATAGGTACTAGTCATTTAAACCTCTTGGTGTTTTCAGTCCCCTGAAATGGGAGTTGCTGCTCTTTGCCGGGCCTGAAAACAATTATGCTTTACATTTTTGGGTTGCACTCTATAGCGTACAAACCATTTTACATTAATTATCTAATCCGCAAACAACCCTCTAAGGCATCCTTACAGGTGGCAAAGCTGAGGTCCAAAGAAGTTAGTGGTTTTCCCTCGGAAGTGTAGGTAATAAAGTCCTCTGGAAGAAAGGATGGTAGCCATCTAGTGAGTCTGCTAGTGCCTGGCGCTGTGCTCAAATAAATTAAGGGAGATAAAATGAAAAAAGACCTCTGGTAAGAGTCCAAGACCGTTTTACTAATGAGCAGATTGAATTTGGTTAACTTACGGAATAATATGGATAGTCATTGGAGACAGAACCAAGGGCCGAAATCAGCTTTGCCAAAGTTACTGTTCCAGTGTATGTTGCCACTGCAAAAAAAAAAAAAAAAGGAAGACGGAAAGGTGCTTTGAAATGCATCAAGTTTTAGAACATGTCAATCATTGTTCTTACTGCAGCTATTGGTGGTGTGCAAATGGAAGTTGAGGCATCTGATAGCTTCACACTTCTTGCTGCTAATGCCCCCTCCTCCCCTCACCTAATTACAAATGACCCCACCTTCTCTTGCCTTATGCGTGCACTTTCCCTGTCTTTAAAAACAAAATTGGGACACATGGGTGCACAGTAGGACAATATTTTAAATCCAGATGATTGGTTACTTAATTACAAATGCAATTCTGCATCTCCCCGCCTTTTTTTTTTTTTTTTTTTTTGTGAGGAAGATCAGCCCTGAGCTAACATCCATGCCAATCCTTCTCTTTTTGCTGAGGAAGACTGGCTAACATCTGTTGCCAGTCCTCCTCCTTTTTTTTCCGTTTTTCTCCCCAAAGCCCCAGTAGATAGCTATATGTCATAGTCGCACATCCTTCTAGTTGCTGTATGTTGGATGCCGCCTCAGCATGGCTGGACAAGCGGTGCGTCCGTGCGCGCCCAGCATCCAAACCCAAGCCACCAGTAGCGGAGTGCGCGTGCTTAACTGCTAAGCCACAGGGCCGGCGCCTCCCCGTTTTCTTTAGGAACTTATTTTGGTCTGTATCCCCCTTGAGATAGCTAGATGATAATGTATGTGAGTCTGTATACAGCTCCTGGACTTTTCTGGAGCAAAAGCTTGGTGCAGAGGGAGGGATCTTTACAGTAAGCTAAGGGTTGGAGCTATTCTGGGATCTTGGTGATTTCTCAGTTGGGTTGCCCATTTCTTTTGTGCAGCCTTTTGGAATTTGTGGTCTGCCCTTTAGTGTCTTATTTCACATGTAGTCATCAGTGGCATTGTGGTTTGCTACTTGGCTGTCTTCTTTCCTTTCTGATACGTTGTATTTCATGGTTCTGTAGCATTCAGCTATGATCATCAGTGTCATGATTATTTGACGTGTGTGAACACCAAACTGTTGGTATTGGACTTAGAACACTAATTTCAGGTTTGTTGCCATCTTCTTTTCTCTGCTGTCATATCCCTCCCTCCTTCCTAGGCTGATTTTATTTGAAGACTGAATTTGGATTCTGTCTTTGCCCTTCTGACTGTGAAATCACCTACTTCTAGAAATTTATCTATTACCAAAGCATCTCAAATCCTCTGCCTTCAACTGTCACTCAGATGTCTTTTGAGGACCAGTCTCATATTTCAAAGTTCTTCCTGGAGCTTAACCTGGCATATTCCACAGATAACTTTAAAACAAAACAAAAACAACTATTTTCAAAACTGGAAACTTTCATCCTACCCTCGCTCCAGGAAACAGTGATTAAAACAAAAGCACTGTTTCTCCTTTACTCGTTAACATGATTAATGACATTATCACTAAATTCTAGCTAGAAATGTCAGTTATCTTTGTTCTTTCTCTTTCATCTTTGTCTTCCAGTCTTGTCGAAAAAGACACTATTGATTCTCGGTTTCATTTCTCTCTATTTCTGCTGCTGCTGCTCTCAGGCCTTTACCAACTCTTGCCTTGGTTAGTAAAGTGACTTTCTGCCTTGTTTTCCTGACAGTCTCTACCCAACCTCTAGAGTTACTGTTCTAAAATGTGAATTTGATTGTGCAAAGACCCTACTTATAAGCTAGGTGATTCCTGAATTGCGTAGATAAAATCCAATTTCCTTAGCATTATATTTAAGGACCTTTATAGGCTGTGCCTCCACATTCCTTTTCCAGCTTGTCCCCTATCCATGAACCCAGAATCCATGGGGTTCTGATGAAACCCAGCTTTTCTGCCACACCAGTGCTGTGCTATTTCCTGTATTTTTGCACATGTTTATCTTGCCTTTTTGAATCCTATTCATCTTCCCAGGCTGAGCTCTTCATAAAGCCTTTTCAACTTTCCTAACACTGTTCACTTTTGTTTACTACCATTGCATTTCATGCATGCATTTGTGTAGCACTGCCTTACGTATGGTAATTTGTTTTGGTAGCTGCCATATGGACAGCCTAATCATTTTTGTATCCTCAGTGTTTAAAATAGCATTTGACATCGGAGATACCAAGAAAGGAAGCCCTCGTGGTGTTTATAATGAATCTGGGACATTGTAGATACTTAAAAGTAGCTGTGGAATGAACTGACAGTAGAAAAAAGCTTTTCAAATGTAAAAATATATTCTAGTCTATAAATAATGATCACTTTCTTGTTTTTCTTTCTTTCGCACTTCCTTCTTTTCCTTGTGAGAAACGTGTGTAGAGAAAAGCTCTTTCTGTCCTTGTTTGCTTTGATAAGGGAATGCTGTCTCCGAGGGAGGGGCAAATGAGTGCAGGGTGTGGGGGGACCCAAGGAAGATTGAGCCTGCGAGCCTAGACCTTTTGGGTTTGTAGAGAAGCAGGATGTGGTCCTGGGAGGGCCTGGCTCTGCATCAAGAGTGTGTGCTCGGGAAGGAGCTGGCGCTGGAGTGTTTTCTTTCCGTTTGTTTCCTTTAGAGCTAACGGGGACAAAATGTTTTGAAGTTTTTTCATTTTGTGTCTGCAGTATTTAGTGTTATTTTCCTTATAGTTATGTTTTCTAAATACTTGTTATTAATTCTCTGGTTATGACATTCCATAATGATAAAAAAAAGTCACAGGGGAATTACACCTGAGGTTTTGAGAAGCTGCTTTAAATCTTTCTGGATATGGAAGGGAGAATTTTACAGTAGAAGGAACACTGGACTTGCGGAGTCAGAAGATCTGAGTTCCATCACCTATAAGCTATGTTGTGACTTCAAGCAAGTGTTCTCTGAGACCCGGTTTAATCGTGGCACAGTCGTAGGCTTGTGCAAGGATCTAATGAGAATATGAAAAAGAACTTCAAAAGATGCGAAGCTCTTAGGAGCTATAAGCTAGTGTAGGGTTTCAAAGCCAAGGAAGACAACCTAAACTTCTTTAAAGGGAAGCGCTGTTGTTGTGCATTTGTTCATTTAATCGACAGTTACGGAGCAATGCGTGTGGGATGCTGAGGCTGAGTGAGTTCCTCACTTCTCCCACCAGACTATATAGAGCTTTCGGTCCAGGGGTGGGAGACATGTTAATACACAGTTACACAAACAGTTAGTATACTACAGTAATAATAATTTGTGTATGACACATTAAATGCATAATTATACAAATAATTGTTACAAGTATCTCAAAGACGTGCAGAGTGGTTTTATTACCGCCAAGTGCTTCCTGGCTTGAATGCATACTTTCTCCAGTGCTGCAGTTGGGGAATGACACCATTAACCATGTTTATTTATTTATTTATTTTTTTAAAGATTTTATTTATTTATTTTTTCCCCCAAAGCCCCGGTAGATAGTCGTATGTCATAGCTGCACATCCTTCTAGTTGCTGTATGTGGGACTCAGCCTCAGGATGGACGGAGAAGTGGTGCCTCGGTGCGCGCCCGGGATCTGAACCCGGGCCGCCAGCATCGGAGCGCGCGCACTTAATCACCAAGCCACGGGGCCGGCCCTTTTAACCATGTTTAAATTGGGCTCTTTGGTCTCACAGTTGCAGTTTGACCTGTGAAGTTCCTGAAACCTTGTGATAATGGGCTCCATTGCCGTGCACCTCTGTGCTTTCCACAGGAAACACAAGAGGGAAATTGTCCCCTTGTCGATCTTCACAGAGCCCCTCGGAGACAAGTGAGAGGCTGTGGGGAACTAGTGGGATGAGGTTGGGTGACTCAGTAAGTTATCCAGATTAGCAGAACTGCCCTCTGTGGTTCTCATTATGAGCAGTCTCTCCAGTCAGGTACCTTGTACTAGAGAGTTACCTTGATTTTTTTTTTTTAAAAAAGTAGTTATTTAATAATAATCTTTCCCTCCAGGACTTGAAGACACGATTATCATCTTCATCTTGTCCATTTAGGTCTGTAACCTGTAAGTTGTAGAGAACTTTTTGGTATAAATTCTGATTAGTAAAGGTGGGGGAAGAAAGGAAATTATTTGATATCAAATTATTAAAGTTATTTGAAT